TATGTAGCTCTGGCATCTGGGTCTGAAAATTATTCCTGAGAATTTATTGGATTCACAAAAGTGTTACGGATTTACATAAGGAAAGAGAACATCTTCAAATATTTTAGATAACAGCTGACCAAGAATCTTCCTTTAGGAGTCTACAGATCAACCCTGTACCATTTATCCAGCTCATGGGTCCCGTTGAGTTGACACCTTATTTAGATCATCTAAAATAAAGAAGTAAAGATTAAAGTATTTAATTTATTAAACACAAACTGAGAAGCATGAGAAGAAAGCTTAGCCTATTGGCAGTATACACCCTAATTATTGTTTCTCTTTGCATAGATTACATGACAGCAATGTATTGAAAAGGAGTGCCCTCTGACACATTATTCAGGAGTACAGTCTAGGTGTTTGTCCCTATTGGGGATGTTGTATTTGCAGGGACGCTATTGGAAGTGAGATCATTGTAAAATAATGACCGACAAAGTCCTATGTCATAACAGAGGGTAGCATTTCAGTGAAAGACTATGACACACACTAGAATACTGTTAGGGCAGTACAAAATGGTGAAAAAATATGAAAATGATCATAAATCATAATTCTATTTCAGATTATGTTGCACCCACTAAATATATGCCTTTGATTGACTCAGGAAGGTGAAGGCAAGAGACTATGATATATGTCAGTGGCAAGGAGCCTTTTAGGTAACCAGAAATCACAGCCACTGTATGGGCAAGAGCAGGCACTACCTCGAGGTGGCACATATGGTACAACACGCCCAAAAGCAGAGGCGGTCAATCACCTGGTAGGATTGTGATCCAGCCCTAAAAGCCTAGTGCTAAATATCACAAGCATATCAGTATTTTTGTAGGGGAGGCTCAACCACAAATGCTCAAATGCTGGAGTTATTCATGTGTGCATGCATCTTTTCCCCAAAAATTACCCATCTAAAATTGGGAGGTGTGTCTTAAAAAAAGAGCTGGAATAGAGCCAAAAGGGTGTTGGAATAGCTGCAGGGGACTTTGCTCAGCACCAGCTCACCCAACGCTGAACCCTGGAGCAGGGGCAGAGCCCGGTCACCCCCACAGCTTCAGGATCAGTGGCCAGAGGTTTAACCCTATCACAGTCTTTGCCAGTTGTCCCATGCTGTGACAGGTAAGATTATAAGAGAAACTCTTTTTTCTTTTCTCTGCCTTCTGAAAACAAGATCTGTGTCTTACTTGGTGATATCCAGTGTGTGAATAAATACAGTATTTGAGATTACATAAGGAAAAATGTCAGCAATCATTTTAAGCCTGGTGTTTAGTGTGTTTCCAGTTAGTTTAACTATAGCCAGTTCCATGGCCTACAGTGAAAGCAAGTTACTCAAGAAATCAATTTTTCTCCCTCCAGTGGAATGCTTCTGAAGCTTCCCCTGGGGCAGTCTACTTGTTCCCCCTTCTTATTGGCCCGCTAGAATTAATATCATAATTTACCCACAAAATATATTTTCAGAAGGGTATATAAGGAAAAATATGCTAATAGAATATTAAATATAATAGACATGCCCGTGCATAAAATATGGAGAATCAACTGATACATTGTTAGGTCCTGATCCTGAATACCTTTCACATCTTTAATTCCATTGTATTTCCTTGATATTTTTTTCCCCCAGTACATCTTCAAGCCCCTCCAAAAGTAAGCGGTATGTGCCCATGTCATGATTAATGGAGCTTTCATGTAGAAAGTAAAAGCTTGCTATACCTTCCAGGTAACACTTTACACGAAAACATTACTGTTGGTGACATAAACTGAAATAAGGCATATAGTTTCTACATTTGCCTTATTGTTCTGCTGGTAAAAGGAAAGAAAAAAAAAACTCCCTCTAGCAGAAGGATTCAGAACTTAGGTATTTTTAAAAATATATTGATTTCTGTATAGATTCCTTTCACCCCTTTATAATCCTTGGCTTTGTGATATCCTTTTCACTAATGCAATTCACTTACAAGCATTCTGGCGAAGAGAAGAAACAAAAAAAGATCAAAATGAAGGGGAAAAATCCTGTTACACAAAGAAGCAGAAAAATATACATCAATCAAATACTCATGACTCAGAAGATGTCTCAGGCAGCCCTGACTGATTTTTAAAAAATGCCCAAATTGCCTTGTGAAATAAAAAGTCTGCTGCCATAAACATTTCTCTCAGTTGGCAGTGTTTTCTGATAAAAATTAATTCTGCAATATTCCCCATCACAAAGCACCCTGCTCACCTTATTGAAGTCCTTATGGACTAAAAGTTTGACACAATGTAGGCGCGTCTATGCAAGACATTTTGAGCACAATAGACTAATTCTACTGCACATTAGCATGGTGGGCAAAACCCATAACGCACAGTATAATCAGTCTACTGCACAGTAGTGTCACTTAAAATGAGTGTGCCAGCACTGCTGTGCAGGTACACCAGTTACTGCGCATTTAGTTAGTACCTGGTATTACAGGTACTAAACTAAATGCACAGTAACCACTGCACATTAATGCACATGTAGATGTGCCCCCAGTTTCTATGGATATAAATATATCTCATAAAATGATATAAAATTACATTAGCTTAACATTTAAAAATATATTTTGTAGTAATTTTCTACTTTATGAAAAAGGCCTATAGAATATGACTTCTTCCCTTTTTGACATGCTATAATATAATAGTTAATGGATCATTTTTCACATTTTGTATTTATTTTACCATATTCTATGGAATAATTAAAAATGATATAGAAAGACTACTTAGAAATATTCTTATAGGTTGTTAGAGTAATTCTTTTCTAAACTCATATTTTTATAGGATTTGACTGGCTTCTTCTGTTAAATCCTTTAGGATTTTTTTAAAAGCCTTATTGAGTGTGTATTATAGTTGTTTGGCCAATCTGGATTAAATGACAAATACGTCTATGCTTTGAAGTAAAGTTAGTTTTTGTAAGTATAGGGTCTAGAGCTCTAGTTGCATTGTAAATCATTGCTTATCAGTCTTTATATCATGTGTTCATTCAAGCTTTAGAAGTTATGGTTGGCAACATTTAACTGGATAAAGTTTATATAAAAAAGAAAGAAAACTAGTTCACTTTAAGATGTCAAACTTACAAGCCTGCTGGCAGGGGCACTGCATAAATGATGTATTATCTTCATTGAGGTTTTGCTATCTTTCTATCTTTTATCTAATGCTATCTTTCTATCTTAAGTAAGTTTTCTGGGCAAAGGAAAATATATATTTTTAAAACATCTGAATTCTCATTTATTGCATGATAAACTTCTATGAAATTGTCTTAATAAAATGGCCTGTACCAAACTGCATGAAATTGATTGCAGTTTCTTTTTAAAGGTCCATAAAATAATACATGAGGCATGGAAAACATGTTTCTTTTGAAATAATGCATTGATTTTGTATGTAAATATATTGTCAGATTGCATTTTAAATGGAAATACAAGCTATGTACCTTAAGAAATTTAATTGTACAAGAAATAGAAATGAATCTAGACATTTTTAACCAAAAATCATTCTAAACTATATAGCTGTTGTGGTTATGTGAGAAGAGGAATGATGAAGTTAATACCACTATCAAAGCATGTACTGGTTTTTGATAAAATGTTTTGCTCCCCATCACAGTTATATTCATGTGTTCCAGTCTAGGAAAAATATCCTGCTTATACCTTTACAACTTGCAAGATGATGGTATAAGCAGGATATGTGGGCAAATGGGTGTTTGCCAGCGTGTTGCTGACTAGTACCTGGCATGTCACTTCTAGGCATGATGTGCTATTTTATTACTGTTTTGTGTAATTTTCTTATGTATTGCATCAAGAGCTAGCACAGCTTTAGTCAATTTACTGATGGAGTTTGTTAAAATAGCACAAGTTGAGGGGAACCAGAGGGTAAGGGGGCTACCTGATTTATTTTTCCTGCTGTAGTGGGGGAGAGAGGGGAGGGGAGGCAGGTAATGGGGCAAATTCAAAAAACTTCCAATAATTTGATTCTATCCCTGCAAAAATGTAAAAAATTTATCATTTTCCCATATATAGCATCTAATTGGTTATCTTAAAACCAAGTCATTTTATATTCCAGTAATTATGGTAAGTTAAAAAAAGCCTAGTCTTAAATTTTAGAAACGTGTAGAATCAGCTATAAAGCTGTAAAATACTCCCCCCACACACCCCCGCCACCAATTTTTAAGTTTCCTTTTAAAACACAGAGAAGTAAAAACAAGTCCCAAGTTCTAAAACCAATTCAAATGCTTTCTTCTCTTTGCTCCCCCAAGTAGTCTTATTGACTTCTCTTTGGTTTGTTGTGTGTGCAAGTGTTTGCAGGATTAAGTTTTAAATTTACTTTGAACACATTTTCATTATATTTCAATTCAAAAGCAGTCCTATAATAAAATGAATACAGATGTTGAAACATACTTTCATAAGGTAAAATAATAGTTTTTAATACCATTATAATGTATGTGATTTATTTAATTTGAAAAAAGCCATATTTTTAAAGAAAACATTGTTTTGCATGATGAATAAAAAGTGTTTTCATATTAACATTATGATTAAATACAATGAATTATCTATCAGTGATAGATAATGTTTTAAGAATACTTCGTTCAAAAATCCACTCTGTGCTTTCCACTAAAAAATGCTCTAAACCATGTAAACATGTTTGAAAAGCCTCTATATTTCTGAGCTAAAATGTATGTTCATTATCACTTGTAATGTTTGTCTGCACCTGGGCAGCTACCTTTTAATTCAATGGAATAAGGAGCAGATTTGCCCCCAGGAAAATAGTAGAGGCTAAGCAGAGAATGGACTTAAGGTTCTACCTTCCAGTAGTTTAAAAACATGCTTAACTTTATGTACCTAAAGAGTGTGACTGAATTCAGAATTTTTTTAATATCCTGATTTTCTTAAGCTATTTGAAAAAAAAACAAACAAAAACAGTCTGTATCCCCCTGTATAGGCTTTACTCAAACAATCTAATATTTTCTTGCTGTTGTTTTCAAGACACTCTTTTTAATGGTCTTGGACTTGGTGCTGTCATTGGCCTGGGTGTGGCAGCACTTTTGTTAGTCCTTGTTGTGACTGATGTGAGCTGCTTCTTTGTCCGGCAATGTGGATTGCTAATGTGCATCACCAGGAGAATTTGTGGGAAAAAGAGTGGATCCAGTGGAAAGAGTAAGGAATTAGAAGAAGGAAAGGCTGCATACCTGTGAGTACGAATAACATATCTTAAGAATATCCTTTTCACATTACCTTGATGTTAAGTATATCGTGTAATTAGAAAGTTGCTTCATAAATTATTCTGTTTGCTGGAACAATGAATGAATAATGATAAAATCCTGATATTTGTACTAATCTTTAGATAAGGAAATAATGATGTTATTTTAGATTTGACACAAGTATTGGCAAATATTGCCTTTATAAAAGATGACAGCAGTGCATCATTACAAAATTTTCTGTTTTGGCTATTAAGACTATTTGGGCACAGCCGAGCAGTGCTCATATATGAGAAATATACTTGGAAAAAGCTTTGGTTCTTGAGCAGCAAATGAGAGAGCAATTAAAACTCTACCCACTCCATTTCTTTAAGTCAAAAATCTGATATCTGTACATTCTCTGATACTAATGTAAGGAAATGTTTTAACCACTGACTTTTGAAAACACAAGTTTTGTTGGAACTCAAAAAAAAAATGAATCTCAAGTTTAAAGTTTATGTAAGGCCTTAGTAGAGTTATAAATCAATGAAACGCGGGTTTATTGTACAGTTGCAAATATGGTAGTTGCAAATATGTTCGAAAACATAAAATAAGTCAAAGAGTAAAACAGCATGCCATTTCCCACACCAGCTTTGTTGTTTTTAATTCACTAAAAGATTATCAAAGTATAGTCCATCCATGGTAGCTGTTTGTTTCTGTAACTGTTGAGAGGATAATAAGAGCTATGGAAACCAACAGTATAAGTTCTGATTTTAAAAAAACACAACCCCCTCCCCTCCAAGTTTACTTTATGGACTCAATTTTTACAAGGTTTCAAATCATATGAAAGAAGGAAAACCTATAGCATACAATCTCCCAATTTTTAGATGGTTCTATTTTCTTCCTATGGAAATAAGCATAGAAATATCTATATTGCTGATAGGGTAGAGAACTAAGGTGAACTAAGTTAGATTGGGCCATCTGTTTATTGCCCAAACTAACCTCCCCAAATGTCTGTACAGATTGGTATTTAGATCAACATAACCCTACTTAGGTTGATCCAAGTATAACATCTGCACTTACCCACAGTGTTGCTTATGCTTCTGCCCTGCCTGTCCATCTAAGAGAATTTTTCAGCTCCAAGTTCACAACTTTCAAGAGGCTGAAACCTTTCCATCCCTCAACTTCTTTCTGCATGAGATACCGTAATATAAACACTGGACGCACTGACAGTCATGGGGGGGAAAAAACCAAACAAACAGCACTTTGTTGGAAGAGGAACTGCATCAGTGTGACCTGGCCCCCCAGCATCTGTATAGATCACATCCTTTAGCAGGGCTTTTGGGCACTTTTATCTAGTAACTGAATCAGCTATTAGATTGAATTGGCTATTAGATAAAAGTGCCAAAAAGCCCCACTGAAGTGTGTGATCTATACAGATACTGGATGAGCCAGGGCAAACTGGTGCGGTTCCTCTTCTGGGCATGCACCAGTCTTGGTGCAGGGGTGCACTGAGCTGAAAGTAAAGCACCATTTTGTTTGTTTTTTTCCCCACATCTGTCAGCAGCCTGATAATTCCAGGTTACATGTCCCTAGCCATCAAACATGTTACCTACTAAACCAAATATTCTTGGCAATTGTACAAGTTTATTTTGTGGAGTTTCTGGACAGTCATAAAATTCAAAAACACATTCCTTTTTCCATTAATAGTTGCCATTTCCATTTCTTTCACAGTACCTAGGCTTCTTAAAATAAATCACTGGACATCTTAATTTTCCCCAGTTGTAGCTGGTAACTTTTTGCATTTCTTTTTATTAGACTGGATTACTGCAAAATATATTTCTATTGTCTATGTTCCATGTGTGCTGATTATAGATGATGCAGTGTATGTGGAGCATGCAGGCTGCTGGAATAGAAATAAGGAATGTTTCTTTTATGAATAGTCTAAATCCTTTTTAAAAATTAAAAGAGCATTCTGAATGCATTCTGCTACTTAAAAATCATGGTTTTCTAGGCTTTGGGATATATAATAATGTCCTGTTTTATAAAATATGCTGAATAGAAATTACAACCCCCTTTAACAATCCCATTATGATTCATAGTCTTTTTACATACATAGTAGCTGTTATCCTAAATGATGCTTCTATGAAAAAAATGGTGGTCAGCTTCTAACTAGCACTCAACTTTAATGCCTCATAAATTGAACACTTCCACTTGAAGTCTTCAAAAATAAGCATTAATTTGATTCATGTTGGCTAAAACTTGAATTCAGTTTTCACAGGTAAATAAGCACTTATTAGGTATCACTTTTCAGATAGCCCAAGGCTTTGGGGTATTATTTTAACATATGTATCCCTAGTTGGTCAATTTATAGTTTACACTTGTCTGTCTAGCACACTCATTACCTGCATCTCTCTGCTGACTTCCTCACTGGTAAGAGATAAAGACTCTCTCTGAGAATAACTACCAGTAAGTGTTAGACAGAGCTCCCCATCCATGTTCCAGGCTGATGGAAAACTGCACTATAAAGTCTGTGTACGAATTATACTGGTTTTCTGGCAACAATACAGAAATGTAAGACATGGAATAGGGTAGGGTCAATCCCTTGTTTTGGGATCAAGTAGCTAGTAATTAGACAATCTCTGGCATGCAGCAGATGTAGAGGACAGGTTGCTAAACATGAGTCCTGTCACCTTTATTTCACTGAGTTAACTGTGTTTTCAATATTCAAGTTATTAAGCTGGGAACCAGAGGCAAACATAAGTAAACTAAATCAGAAAAGGATTTTTTGAAGCATAAGATTCATTTTTGGAAACCTGTATCCCATCCTTCTAATGTAAAAAAAAAAAAAAAAAAAGTATTAATAAATAGTTACATTCTTTATATTGCCATAGAAAGTAGAAGCTCTGACTTGGATTGGATGCAGTCGTTGTGCTGGACCCGATAAAGCATATAATAACCAACCAGCTTGCCCCAAATTGTTTACCCATTGTCTGGCTGATATGAGAAATGATTAGCTGATGTGATGAGTAGAGTACTTTCTCCTGTTCATAAAATTAGGATGTATGAGACAGAATGAATGTGATGAATATGTGCCAGATTCTAACTTACAAATCAGCCCTTTTATCATGTTATGGCAATAGACAAAGGCCCTAAGTTAGATATAAATTGTATAATACAAACTTTTAGGCTCTTTATACTGCCAAATCAGTATGTGACTTCCAGCACAGTAAGAATCTGGCCCTATGCTTTCGTCACTGGCTAAGTACAGGCATTCAAAAAGCTCAAGGTGGAATCAGTCTAAGTTTTGCGGTGTTCTGTAAGCAGCATAGGTTAGTTCAGTAGTGAACAGAACACAAGTTCACTTCTTCGGTGGGGAAGAGGGGGGTCACACAGGCAGGCTGCACTGGCTGAGACATGTCTGCATGTCTTCATTTATACACATACATTTTTGTCCTGCAACGCACTGATGATCCGCCACGTTGGAGAAGACACAAGCTGAGGTGAACTGCACTGAGCCACATTCAGTTGTGTAAGTGGCAAAATACACATCAGTGCACAGAAAATGGCAACGGCATGCTTTTGAACTAAAGCACCTCCAAAGTGTTTTAGTTCAAAGTGTGCTGCTGTCGTTTTCTTACCACTGACACTCATTTCGCTGTTTATACAGCTGCTTTTCAAAGGATCTAGTGCTGTGGCACTTTCATGTGTAAAAATGCCCCCAGTGTTCTGCGCAGGCTGCCTAGGCTGCCAGAGATTGCCAAGCAGAGATGAGCACCTGGCCCACCCCCTGATAGGCTGCCAGGCATAGGTGAGCATGCCGTCTCCCCCTGCTCTTTCATCTTTCAGCTATGGACATCTTTCAGCTGCAAGCAGGCAGTGCCAGGGGGTGGACAGGAGATGTGTGTCTCTGCAAAAAAAGAAACCCATCATGAAGCACCCCATGAGGTACACACAGACCTGACACTGAGCCCAACAGAGCCCCCATGAGTAGGTGCAGCACCACAGAGCCCATCTGGTCTGCTGGGCATGGGAAAGCATTTCCGCACCCCTCCTATCCTCCCCACAATGCTGCATGATGGCAGCTGTCAGATGCCTATGCTTGACAGGGGACGAGGCAGACAGAGGGGCAATGCTCGCCCATGCCTGACAGCCCAGTTGGGCTCCATGGAGCTCTGCCCACTTGCGGGTGTTCTCCTGGGTTAATGTGACAGGTGTTTGTGTAGGGTGCTTTATGATGGGGTTTGTGCAGGGACACATATGCCTCCCTTTCCCATGTTGGTGCTAACTCGGCTCTGTGACACCTCAGGGACAGGGCACACTGGGTGTTTGATCAGAGCAGCTGAGTTTAAGGCAAATGCCAGCACATGTTCCTTCAAGAAAGTGCTAGTCGGGGCAGCAAAGGAACCTGGAATGCCAGTGGACAGTGACCTAACATGAATTGAAAGGGATTCTGGTACATAAGTTTGATTCACCGGTCTAACCTAAATTGATTAAGTTTGAGTACACATCGATTCAGATCTGTCTTAGATTGGGTTCTGCCATTTTTAAACCAATCTATGTACACTGATTTTTTTGTTCTGTTATGGATATAGACCGGTTTCCAATCACTTATACAGATAAAAATGCAGTGTCTGTACCTAGTACTCTATAATGTCTTAAGAGTACAGTATAAGATTATTCCTAGCCCACCGTGATTATTAGGAAATGGTCATTCTTCTGCTAAATGTGGTTATATATAGAATAGATAAGTATTCATAGCTACAGAATGAGTTGAATACTGTAAGGAAGGGCTGTCCAAATTCTGAGTGGCTAATAGCTGCATTCTGTGTGAACCACACACCGTGCCACACCGCACTGCGTGGGTTGTGCTGTACGATATTGCACTACATGGGCCACCCCTACTGTGCTGCGTTATGTAGGCATCTCTGCATGGTACTTTGCTGTAAGTGCACCAGGCCTCACAAGACAGGCTTCTTTGGCTTCACAGTCTGCACCATTCCCTCTGCCCCAGTGGGTGGGAAGCAGAAGCTAGGGGAGGGAGTTAGGATCCCAGAGACTCAGGCAGCAGCACCAAAAGAGCAGTAGAGGAAGAAGTGCCTGGACCAGGATCAGAGGAGTAATATCTGCATCAGGATTTAGGGAGGAGGCCACCCGTTGGACAGCCCTGCTTTAAAAGCATCAAAAACATGTCATGTTGAATGTGTTCTAGTGCCATAAGTGATAATAGACTGTTTTTTTTCTTTGGTGAGGATTTGAAATGAGGGGACTTGGTAATTAATGAAGTGTAACACATGCTAAAGACATGACAATGGAGGTTAAGGTTCTTCTAATAATTTTTAGGAAAGATGGATCAAAAGAGCCAATAGTGGAAATGAGAACAGAGGATGAAAGAATTACCAATCATGAAGATGGGAGCCCAGTAAATGAGCCAAATGAAACAACGCCACTCACAGAACCTGAGTACGTAATCTTGAATTTCTAATAGCTACCTGATTAGAATAAATAAATTTGTTAAACTATGCAAAAGAGAAAAAGTAATGTTAATAGTATTGTGAGAGCGATCTATTGTGTATGATTTATTATCAGTGAGACATTTACAGTAGTCATTCTAAAGCAGTCATAGTTTAACAGCAAGATCAAGAGCGTCTCCATCCCTTTCCCACTTTACTTTCTCACCCACAGCACTACTAAATCTGCTGTGCATGGGCTTCTCCCTGCTGTAGAGATGGTGAAGACCAGGGGTGGAGAGTAATGGAAAAATCTCTGACTGCTTTACATTCTGGTTGCTCTCGGTTCCTAGAGGTACACTTTCATTGAGTCCTACAGCCAGATGCTCACCTGCCTGCATCCAGGTGGTGCTTTCTGGCCTTTTGAAAACAAAAGCCTTTTCTGATTATTCAGTTCCTGCTACCCTAAGCACTCGCAAAGGGTGTTATCAGCATCCAGTTGTCCATGTGAGTCCATTTGTGGTAACCGGCAGAACTGTATTGAGATAAAGCTCCTCTTGTTTGTTGCTTCATTCCTCAATAACTTTTTCCTGGTCTTGAAACCCCATTCAGAGCAAAGGGTAGTCTCTCAGAGATAGGGTGATGATATGTCCCCGATTAGGGTGATGAGACAGTCCCAGATTTCGCAGGCCATCCCAGCTGGTTGGTATAGATTGAAGCAAGAGTCCCAAATCTGGCTTCTGCGGGCAGAGGCTGCTGCCACCTGCAGAGCCCAGCCTGGCTCATGCTGAGCAGTAGCTGGAGGCAGGGGAGTGGGGTGGGCACTGCTCTTCCTGCCTAGGGTGAGGATCAGCCAGGGTGAGACAGGCCAGAGGAGGGGACCAAGGGCAAGGCTTGGGCACCTGTACAGGGTGAGCCCTGCTGCTGTGGCCATTGCCAAGTCCTGAGGTGCGTGTGGTAGACCCAGAGAGGTGGTAGTGGCGGGGGGCGGGGACCATTCCTAGCCAGGTCCAGCCTCTGCATGCAGGGGTAGAGTCTGGCTGTGGGCCTCCATGCTGTCCCACCCCACCATCAGTGGCAGGTGTGTGGATTTCCTTACCCCATCCCAGATTTCCTTCACCATAATATGATCACCCTACTCAGAGAGCTTACAGATAGTGTTGGATTCACTGGGGAGGGGCACACTACCTCTGGGTATTTAAGCTCCAGAACACAGAAATACAGAATACTGTCCTCAGTTCAACCTATTGCAGCCAATGGAGCAAATTCAGCTTTACATAACTGTTGCTGTTAATGCTTTAAATATCTTTTAAGACATGCCTATAGGCTATGATTTGTCTTATAACAGATCATGGGCAAGCACGAGATGTTCCAAAATCAGCCACTGATCATCATCTCAATATGATATTCTGAAATGTTTTTATTATTTTACTTTTTCTTCCCTTGCAAATTAGGTTTACACTTGCAAATAAATATTAAAAGATGTAGTGGCAATACCACTCCTTTACAAGAACCCAAGCAATTGACCTAAAAGAAAGTAGGTCAATTACTGAAGAGATTCATCCAAAAAATTTGGGCCATTCCAATAGGAATTTGTATTTATGAAAGGGGAAGCTGGCCTGTTGTGAGGACCTGCTGGGTAATAAAACACAACACTCATAGGGTGAATCTGCATGTGTGCTTTAATGCTCATTAGCCTGTTTCAATGCACATGAGGGCATCACAGAAAAACGACGCTCTTTAGCGAAAATAGGCTAATGTGCCTTTTTCTAGTACCTCACAATGGAGGGCCTCTATACATGTGCTCCAGGGTGGAGACGGGGAGAGGGCACTTTAATTAGAGCGGTTCCAAGAACTGCTCTAATTAAAGCATCTGCAACATCATGTGCATTCAGCATCCCATGCTTCAAAATGGTGGTGGAGGTGCTTGAACTAAAGCTCACTCAACGAGCTTTAGTTCGAGTGCCCCTGCTGCTGTTTTGAAGCACAGGGACACTGAATAGAAGTGACAGGGAGGCTGTTGGAGCACATTAATTAACATTCTCCAACAGACTCATAGTTTCATAGTTTCTAG